GTGGAGCTTGGGTGGGTGAAGAGCACCCACTCTGATGCCTGGAGGACCTCAAGGGTGGGACCTGCACCTTGGGTGGGCCAAAGGAACCCACCCAGGTGTCCAGAGGAGCTCCATGAGGGTGGCACCTGGAGGTTGGGTGGGTGAAGAGCACCCAACCTGATGCCTGGAGGACCTCAAGGGTGGGACCTGGAGGTTGGGTGGGCCAAGGGCACCCACCTCAATGCTTGGAGCTCCTCAAGGTTGGAACCTTGAGGCTGGATGGGTGAAGAGCACCCAACCTGATGCCTGGAGGACCTCAAGGGTGGGACCTGGAGGTTGGGTGGGTGAAGAGCACCCATCCTGATGTCTGGAGGACCTCAAGGGTGGGACCTGCACCTTGGGTGGGCCAAAGGAACCCACCCAGATGTCCAGAGGAGCTCCATGAGGGTGGGACCTGGAGGTTGGGTGGGTGAAGAGCACCCACCCTGATGCCGGGAGGACCTCAAGGGTGGGACATGGAGGTTGGGTGGGCCAAGGGCACCCACCCTGATGCTTGGAGCTCCTCAAGGTTGGAACCTTGAGCCTGGATGGGTGAAGAGCACCCATCCTGATGCCTGGAGGACCTCAAGGGTAGAACCTTGAGCCTGGATGGATGAAGAACACCCAACCCCGATGCCCGGAAGACCCCCCAGGAGACCTGGGTGGACCCCGTGGTGGGGTTGGACGAAGGTGACCCACCTCCATGGTGTAGTTGGTGTGTTTGTTGTCGAAGATGAGGGCCTCCTGGATGAGCTGGTGCTGCTGCTCCAGAAGGTCCAAGTTGGGTTTGTAGTCCACGATGCTCTGCTCGTACTGCTTGAGATGGTCCAACTGGTCCTCCAAGGTCCCGTTCATCTCGATGGAGATACGTCCAATCTCCTGCAGGACGGGTTGGGTTTAAATCCCACCTTTTTGGTCCTCACCAGTCCTCCCAGTTGAGATACTGGAAGCCTCACCTCCATCTTGGTCTGGATCCAAGGTCCCACCATGTTGGCTTGGCCGGCGAATTGTCTCCGGAGCCGCTCGTTGGACTGTTGTTTGCTCTGCTCGTCCAGGAGAGCGTGGTCCCTCTTGGGCACCAGCTGTTGGACCTGCCAGGAGAAAGAAGATGGTGGGAGGGGGGGGACACGGTGACATCAGAGCTGGGGGGGCCAAGAAAAGATGAAGATGATGATGATGGTTGGGGCCACCAGGGAATGGTGGCTCCAGAAAGTCATGGTTCTCCAGGAGCTTGTGGAACATCTGGCTCCAGGAGCTCATGGAGCATCTACTTCCAAGAACTTGAGGAACATCTGGCTCCAGGAGCTCATGGAGCATCTACTTCCAAGAACTTGAGGAACATCTGGCTCCAGGAGCTCATGGAGCATCTACTTCCAGGAGCTTGTGGAACATCTGGCTCCAGAAGCTCATGGAGCATCTACTTCCAGGAGCTTGTGGAGCATCTGGTTCCAGAAGCTCAAGGAACATCTGGCTCCAGGAGGTTACGGAGCATCTACTTCCAAGAGCTTGTGGAACATCTGGCTCCAGAAGCTTGTGGAGCATCTACTTCCAAGAGCTCACAGAACATCTGGCTCCAGAAACTCATGGAACATCTACTTCCAAGAGCTTGAGGAACATCTGGCTCCAGAAACTCATGGAGCATCTGGCTCCAGAAGGTTATAGAACATCTGGCTCCAGAAGGTTGTGGAGCACCTGGTTCCAGAAGCTCAAGGAACATCTGGCTCCAGGAAGTTATGGAGCATCTACTTCCAAGAGCTTGTGGAACATCTGGCTCCAGGAGCTCATGGAACATCTACTTCCAAGAGCTTGAGGAACATCTGGCTCCAGGAGCTCATGGAGCATCTGGCTCCAGAAGGTTGTGGAGCATCTGGTTCCAGGAGCTCATGGAACATCTGGCTCCAGAAACTCATGGAACATCTGGCTCCAGAAACTCATGGAGCATCTACTTCCAAGAGCTTGTGGAGCATCTACTTCCAAGAGCTTGTGGAGCATCTGGCTCCAGAAGCTCAAGGAACATCTGGCTCCAGGAGGTTATGGAGCATCTACTTCCAAGAGCTTGTGGAACATCTGGCTCCAGGAGATTATGGAGCATCTGGCTCCAGAAGCTCATGGAGCATCTACTACCAAGAGCTTGTGGAGCATCTGGCTCCAGAAGGTCATGGAGCATCTGGCTCCAGAAGCTCGTGGAGCATCTGGCTCCAGGAAGTTATGGAGCATCTACTTCCAAGAGCTTGTGGAACATCTGGCTCCAGGAGCTCCAGCCCCATGGATGACCCCTTTGGGGGAGCTGGTGGGACACACTCACCCGTTCCCACTTGGAGTTGATGATGTTGGGGGTGACGGAGGTGTAGGGGTTGTTCCCCGCCAGTTTGATGCCGTTGACGTCGGCGATGCGTTGGGCCTCCCGTTGGATGCCCAAGATGGCCTCCCGCTCCTTGTCGGCGTCAGGGAGGGTGGACTTGAACTGGTCGTGAGCGGCGATGAGGCCCTGGGGGGGGAGAAGACACGGGGGGGGACAGGTCAGAGCCTGGACCTGCTCTGAGCTCATCCTGACCCCCATGAGAACCTCCTGGGTCTTGAAGAACCCCAAGAGAAGCTCCCCAGGTCTTGCAGAACCACATGAGGAGCTCCCTGGGTCTTCCAGACCCCCATGAGAAGGTCCCCAGGTCTTGGAGAACCCCAAGAGAAGGTCCCTGGGTCTTCCAAACCCCCACGAGAAGGTCCCCAGCTCTTGAAGAACCCCAAGAGAAGCTCCCCAGGTCTTGCAGAACCACATGAGGAGCTCCCTGGGTCTTCCAGACCCCCATGAGAAGGTCCCCAGGTCTTGGAGAACCCCAAGAGAAGGTCCCTGGGTCTTCCAAACCCCCACGAGAAGGTCCCCAGCTCTTGAAGAACCCCAAGAGAAGCTCCCTGGGTCTTCCAGACCCCCATGAGAAGGTCCCCAGGTCTTGGAGAACCCCAAGAGAAGGTCCCTGGGTCTTCCAAACCCCCACGAGAAGGTCCCCAGCTCTTGAAGAACCCCAAGAGAAGCTCCCTGGGTCTTCGAGAAGCTCTCCAGGTCTTGTAGAACCCCAAGAGAATCTTCCCGGGTCTTGTAGACCCCCAAGAGAAGGTCCCAGGGTCTTGTAGACCCCCCCGAGAAGCTCCATGAGTCTTCTGGACCCTCAAGAGAAGGTCCCTGGGTCTTCCAGACCCCCATGAGAAGCTCCCTGTAGAACCCCACAAGAAGGTCCCCAGGTCTTGCAGAACCCCACAAGAAGGTTCCTGGGTCTTCCAAACCCCCATGAGAAGGTCCCCAGGTCTTCCAGACCCCCATGAGGAGCTCCCTGGGTCTTCCAGACCCCCACAAGAAGGTCCCCAGCTCTTGTAGAACCCCAAGACAAGCTCCCTGGGTCTTCCAGACCCCCACAAGAAGGTTCCTGGGTCTTCCAAACCCCCATGAGAAGGTCCCCAGGTCTTCCAGACCCCCATGAGGAGCTCCCTGGGTCTTCTAGAACCCCACAAGAAGCTCCCTGGGTCTTCCAGACCCTCATGAGAAGGTCCCCAGGTCTTGCAGGACCACATGAGGAGCTCCCTGGGTCTTCCAGACCCTCAAGAGAAGGTCCCCAGCTCTTGTAGAACCCCAAAAGAAGCTCCCTGGGTCTTGTAGAACCCCAAGAGAAGCTCCCTGGGTCTTCCAGACCCCCACAAGAAGGTCCCTGGGTCTTCCAAACCCCCACAAGAAGGTCCCCAGCTCTTGTAGAACCCCAAGAGAAGCTCCCTGAGTCTTCCAAACCCCCATGAGAACCTCCTGGGTCTTGTAGAACCCCACAAGAAGGTCCCCAGGTCTTGCAGAACCCCACAAGAAGGTTCCTGGGTCTTCCAAACCCCCACAAGAAGGTCCCCAGCTCTTGTAGAACCCCAAGAGAAGCTCCCTGGGTCTTCCAGACCCCCACGAGAAGGTTCCTGGGTCTTGTAGAACCCCAAGAGAAGCTGAAGGCCACGGAGCCTTCCCCCCCCTCCCTTCCTCTACCTCGATCTCCTCGATGGTGTGGACGATGAACATGTCCTGCAGGTCCTCCATGGCGCTCTCCATCCAGTTGTTGAAGGGGGCCGCCCTCTTGGCGTACTCCAGGTGCAGCTCGTCGATGGTCTCCAGCTGCTTCTCCGTTTTCTGCCGGGGAAGACACGGGGGAGTTAGGAGGCCAAGAACCCCCCTGAGGTGGCCCTGGTCCACCCGAGGTGGCCCTGGACCTCTTTGAGGTGGCCCCGTCCCACTTCGAGGTGGCCCTGTCCCACTTTGAGGTGGCCCTGGACCTCCTTTTTGGGATCCCACCAATCTCCAGGGCTTCTCTCCTGGGACCCCAGGAGGTCCCACTGGTTGGAGGTGGCCCTGGTCCCCCTGAGGTGGCCCTGTCCCACTTCGAGGTGGCCCTGGACCCCTTTGAGGTGGCCCTGGACCCCCTTTTTGGGGTCCCACCCACCTCCAGAGCTTCTCTCCTGCTGTGGGTGAGGGACCCAAGAACGTCCCACTGGTCGCAGATCTTCTGGCACCGGGCGTTGACGCTGGGCGAGTCGTAGTAATCCAGCTCACTGAAAGCAAAAAATGGGGTGAAAAAAGGAGGTTTTGGGGTCAGGGGGACAGGAAACCCTCCCCCAACCCCTCGAGGGCTCGTTAAAAACCCAATTTGGCCAATTAACCACCCCCCGGCCCCTCGTGGCCCCGTTCCCTGGCTCCATTCATGGTCCTTTTTGGCTCCTTCGGGCCTGGAGTTGATCTGATTTTGAGGGAAGGGGGTGGGGAATGAGTAAAAAAAAAAACCCAAAACAATAAAAAATAACAAAACCAACAAAAAGAACCAACAAAAACCCCAAAGCTCTCACAATTAACCCCGTTCTAATTATGGAGAAGGGGGGGGGGGCGGAAGGGCTGAGGAGAACAATGAGGCCTTTGTGAGGCCTTGTCCGGGAGGAGAAACCACGGGGTTGGAAGGAGGGAAATTAAGGGAGAATCCCCCCAAAATGAGTAAGTTTTGGGGTTTTTTGGGTGGGGGGGAGGGAAAAGGGGGTGTCCTTCCTACTTGAGCTCCTGGGCGATGGCGGCGATCTGCTCCACCCGGTCCTGGTGGGCCGCCAAATCGCTCTCGAAGGCCTCATGTTTCCTCAGGAGGGCTTTGACGTCCGAGAGGGTGGCCGACTCGTAGTCCTTCTGCTTCAGAAGGGACTCCTTGCCTGGGGACAAGGTTGTGGGGTGGACAAGGTGAGGGGGGGACAAGGTGAGGGGGGGTTGTCACCAAAGGACAGGGTGGGGAAACCTCATAGAGTGTCACTGAGGGGAACCCCAGGCCCCTCATGGTCATCCCCGGGTGGAAAACGCAGCCAAAACCCAGTTTTCCAACCCAAAACGAAGGGTTTTCCAACCCAAAATCCAGTTTTCCACCCCAAAATCCAGTTTTCCAACCCAAACCAAGAGGTTTCCACCCAATACCCCAGTTTTCCAACCCAAACCAAGAGGTTTCCACCCAATACCCCAGTTTTCCAACCCAAACCAAGAGGTTTCCACCCCAAACCCCATTTTTCCAACCCAAACCAAGAGGTTTCCACCCCAAAATCCAGTTTTCCACCCCAAAATCCAGTTTTCCACCCCAAACCAAGAGGTTTCCACCCCAAAATGAAGGGGTTTCCACCAAAACCCCACTTTTCCAACCCAAACCAAGAGGTTTCCACCCCAAACCCCACTTTTCCAACCCAAACCAAGAGGTTTCCACCCCAAAACTAAGGGGTTTCAACCCAAACCAAGATGTTTCCAACCCAAACCAAGACGTTTCCACCCTAAAACTAAGGGTTTTCCAACCCAAACCAAGAGGTTTCCACCCAAAATCCAGTTTTCCAACCCAAACCAAGAGGTTTCCACTCCAAAACTAAGGGTTTTCCACCCCAAACCCCAGTTTTCCAATCCAAACCAAGAGGTTTCCAACCCAAACCAAGGGGTTTCCACCCCAAAACGAAGGGTTTTCCAACCCAAAATCCAGTTTTCCAACCCAAACCAAGGGGTTTCCACCCCAAAACGAAGGGTTTTCCAACCCAAAATCCAGTTTTCCAACCCAAACCAAGAGGTTTCCACCCCAAAACTAAGGGTTTCCACCTCAAACCCCACTTTTCCAACCCAAACCAAGAAGTTTCTACCCCAAAACTAAGGGTTTTCCACCCCAAAAACCAGTTTTCCAACCCAAACCAAGAGGTTTCCACCCAAAACCCCAGTTTTCCACCCCAAACCAAGAGGTTTCCACCCCAAAACTAAGGGTTTTCCACCCCAAACCAAGAGGTTTCCACCCCAAACCCCATTTTTCCAACCCAAACCAAGAGGTTTCCACCCCAAAATCCAGTTTTCCACCCCAAACCAAGAGGTTTCCACTCCAAAACTAAGGGTTTCTACCTCAAACCCCAGTTTTCCACCCCAAACCAAGAAGTTTCTACCCCAAAACTAAGAGTTTTCCACCAAAACCCCAGTTCTCCAACCCAAACCAAGAGGTTTCCAACCCAAACCAAGAGGTTTCCAACCCAAAACTAAGGGTTTTCCACCAAAACCTCAGTTTTCCAACCCAAACCAAGAGGTTTCCACCCCAAACCCCAATTTTTCAACCCAAATCAAGAGGTTTCCACCCTAAAACTAAGGGTTTTCCAACCCAAACTAAGAGGTTTCCACCCCAAACCCCAATTTTTCAACCCAAACCAAGAGGTTTCCACCCTAAAACTAAGGGTTTTCCAACCCAAACGAAGAGGTTTCCACCCAAAACCCCATTTTTCCACCCAAACCAAGAGGTTTCCACCCCAAACCCCAGATTTCCACCCCAAAACTAAAGGGGACTAAAAGGGTCCAAAAAGAAGTTTTTTAAAGGATTTTAAAGGGGATTTTAAAGAGTTTTTAAAGGGTCCTAAAAAAGCTCTAAAAGGGTCCAAAAAAGGGGGTTTTAAAGGGCTCTAAAAGAGTTTTTGAAGAGTTTTTAAAAGGTCCTAAAAAGGCCTTGAAAAGGTCCGAAAAGGTCCTAAAAGGGTCCTAAAAAGGCCTTGAGAAGGTCCTACAAAGGCCTTGAAAAGGTCCTAAAAGGGTCCTAAAAAGGCCTTGAGAAGGTCCTACAAAGGCCTTGAAAAGGTCCTAAAAGGGTCCTAAAAAGGCCTTGAGAAGGTCCTACAAAGGCCTTGAGAAGGTCCAAAAAGGGTCCTAAAAAGGCCTTGAGAAGGTCCTACAAAGGCCTTGAGAAGGTCCTACAAAGGCCTTGAGAAGGTCCTAAAAGGGTCCTAAAAAGGCCTTGAGAAGGTCCTACAAAGGCCTTGAGAAGGTCCTACAAAGGCCTTGAGAAGGTCCTAAAGAGGCCTTGAGAAGGTCCTAAAGAGGCCCTGAAAAGGTCCTAAAAGGGTCCTAAAAAGGCCTTGAGAAGGTCCTACAAAGGCCTTGAGAAGGTCCTACAAAGGCCTTGAGAAGGTCCTACAAAGGCCTTGAGAAGGTCCTAAAAGGGTCCTAAAAAGGCCTTGAGAAGGTCCTACAAAGGCCTTGAGAAGGTCCTACAAAGGCCTTGAGAAGGTCCTACAAAGGCCTTGAGAAGGTCCTAAAAGGGTCCTACAAAGGCCTTGAGAAGGTCCTACAAAGGCCTTGAGAAGGTCCTAAAAGGGTCCTACAAAGGCCTTGAAAAGGTCCTAAAAGGGTCCTACAAAGGCCTTGAGAAGGTCCTACAAAGGCCTTGAGAAGGTCCTACAAAGGCCTTGAGAAGGTCCTACAAAGGCCTTGAGAAGGTCCTAAAAGGGTCCTACAAAGGCCTTGAGAAGGTCCTACAAAGGCCTTGAGAAGGTCCTACAAAGGCCTTGAGAAGGTCCTAAAAGGGTCCTACAAAGGCCTTGAGAAGGTCCTACAAAGGCCTTGAGAAGGTCCTACAAAGGCCTTGAGAAGGTCCTAAAAGGGTCCTAAAAAGGTCCTAAAAGGGTCCTAAAGAGGCCTTGAGAAGGTCCTACAAAGGCCTTGAGAAGGTCCTACAAAGGCCTTGAGAAGGTCCTACAAAGGCCTTGAGAAGGTCCTAAAAGGGTCTTAAAAAGGCCTTGAGAAGGTCCTACAAAGGCCTTGAGAAGGTCCTACAAAGGCCTTGAGAAGGTCCTAAAGAGGCCTTGAGAAGGTCCTAAAGAGGCCTTGAGAAGGTCCTAAAAGGGTCCTAAAAAGGCCTTGAGAAGGTCCTACAAAGGCCTTGAGAAGGTCCAAAAAGGGTCCTGAGAAGGTCCAAAAAGGGTCCTGAGAAGGTCCAAAAAGGGTCCTACAAAGGCCTTGAGAAGGTCCCACAAAGGCCTTGAGAAGGTCCTAAAAGGGTCCTAAAGAGGCCCAGGTTCTCCCCAAGGGTTTGGTGCCCCTCACCCTCCTGTGCCCCCCAAAATTGTCCCCCTTGACCCCCCCGACCCCCTCCAAACCTTCAGTCCAGGCCTCGTGGATGGAGGCCTTCTGGCGGAACTTCTCGGCCAGGTGGTCCAGGCGCTCCAGCCGCCGGATCTCGGTGAGGAGCCACTCCTCGTAGCCCTTCTCCGCCTGCTCCAGGTGCTGCCACCCCGTGTTGATGTCCTGGGGGGACACGGGGACACCAGGGGTCAAGGTGGGGTGGCCA